ACCTGCATAATGCGGATCATATCGAAACTAAGAGCGATCACACGACCCAAACTACGAATCAGATTTGACTAAATCTCCATAAGAAGCATCTAGTTTTACCCCATTGACAGCCTTTCCATCATAACCCCTTGACACCTTATCATCTACGGGCAAGATTTTTGCACTTTCTTTGTTTCATAGCTGTACAGTGTATCTGCTTGGGCATATACATGTATTTATTCGCTAACACCCTCTCATGTGTTTACCATCATTGGGATCAAAACAAATCTTCTTTAATTATGCAATTCGTTAAATAAGATGATAGATAGGCAAACAACATAAGGTGAGGTTACTATACCTACCTTGGTAGCCTGTTAAAACAGTCCACTAAGGCCATGTGAGCCAGATGGTAGGACTTATTGTATATGTACTGTTGAATAGAAGCTAATTCGGTGTGACTAGGGCACTAGACACAAGTTGACTAGAGCGATACCTCCGAGGCTCCTTTATATCACGCGCTTGCCGGATCAGTCTCCGTGGAGGTACGCGGATATTTCCTAGCTTATTATGGAAGAGATACCATAATATTCTCCTTGAATCTATAATACATTAGGTAGTTTATCAGATAGCCCCGTGTATATCTGAGGCATCCACTCTTAATCTTCACCCAAGAGACTTGAGCAGTGTTCCTTCAGATATACCAATAACGTCTTATAGTCTGAAAGCTAATACCTAGGTACCTATTATATCAGGCACCCAGATAAGCTACCTTGTATATGAGACATCCAATTTTGTTAACACAAATACCTATTTTCCGACTACCTGAATATGTAGGCAATTAATTGAATCTAGCGAGCTACTACAATGTTTGAGAGTGTGGCTAGAAGTCGAGAGCAATTTTGTAGTTATGCATACTATTGAACTAATAGGTATTACGTAGCCAAGACTTCTATAAACGGCTCCCATAGCTTTGTGCATATTCCACTTAGTCTTAAGCTTCAGATTTCAAGCTTTTACGCCTAGCGAAGGAGCGCACGAAGTGCTCGCTAGTGTTTAATACTATTAGACTGACTTCAAATTGACGTCAAGTAATCCTCAAATAAGCCGTGTTCCTTCAGCTACCTACGTTATTATTCCGGGAAAAAAGACTTCGTAAAAGCCAAAAGACGAAGTGCAAACCGAAACTTTCTGGAGAGGTTGGGATCTAATGATAAAATACCGTGTTATAAAGCTATCGAATACATGTTTCAATTATACTATTTGCCGTGATATTTAAAACCAGGCCGGTATATTCTATCATATCACCGTTTCCGAAAATAGATGGAATAGGTAAGTACTGCTATAGAACTGTCATGGGTATACCGCTATACGTGCCAAATACTACGAAAACCGCGTCGTATTTCCAAGTAGTTAGTGGATTTACAGCCTTTAGCCCTTATATGATATAACCTATGAAACCGGCCTCGTTCTGGTATATTTCTTTAATTAATATCTCAACTGGTATGAGGCGTCATGTGGTAATGCAACAGGACTTACAGGACTTCATAATATAAAAATATTAGGTGACTTAAAACACATTAAAGCTATTTATACTCCTCCGTGTTCTGTTCTATAATATCATGTTCGCTCGCTATCATGTAAAATGGGTAATAGTGTGGCTTTAAGGGGTGAGAATGACGATACTTAGATTCCTATTTGATATCACTTCATAGTAGCTTCATCTAACGAATGAGATCGTCATCCACGTCTATTACAGAAATTTGACTTAACTAGGGTTTATATCCTGATGTATAATTTCCGTGATATCTATTAACCTTAAACGCGACCATGACTTATGTTTAGATCGCGGAGGCACGTGGAGCCAATAATCCACATGTCAGAGGATAATTAGCCTAGGGACAGATTCAGGGGTAGATCTACTAGGATTGGGTATATAAAAAGCCTAAACTATTATTTTAGGATACAAAATTTTAGGTACCTCTTGGTTATCTATACGGATCTACTCGGTGAGAACAAAGATAGGAAATGTACATCTTCTTTTTAGCTTCTCATCTCGCTCTAGAGGTTCGCGAAGCTTACTTCACCAAGGTATCGTTTCGTATTAGGCAGGGCAGTTTTAGTTTCATTTCCATACAAATCACAAGCTTATATTCCGCATATTTCCCGTCACCGCCGTGTCAACCTAATCGTCGTTATGACGTGAATATAGCAACAGTGTGTTTAGGTATCATGAAAACAGCAATAATCAATAAAACTCCCAGCGCCACGCTAATACGATACCGGTATCCAATATCCAACCCTCTATTTCTACATTAGTGTTTATATGGAACAACCCGAATGTATTCAACTAGCCATTTATGTATATGGCGTACTTTAGATCGTACACATTATATATTAACGCAAGTATGAGTGATCCATGCTCCCGGGGAGTTCTACTGGCGGGCTTCTTTGCGAATCTGGTGCCTCACTGTTTGATGTTAGATTCGAAAGTCTTGGAGCGTAATGGTATGAATATCCTTACAATAAGGGGTGTTGTTCCTGCCCAGGAAAAGGAGGGCTGGAAGGACCGTATGGAGGAATCCCGGGACTCGGATGTCCCAAGTACGAATTATGTGGGCTTCCAACTTGAGAGCTTATGGCTCCCGGACTTGGCGACCTGTACGGATCCGCGTACGACACGGCGTAAGGCGAACCAATGGGAGGACTCTTGGCACCATAGTCGTGGTAATTGGCTTCGACTATCTGCGGCGGCGCCGTATTGATGAACTGGCTTCGTCGGTATCCTTTTTCGATTCCACCTTTCCTACCGCAGATGTAGACCAAGGCGACAATGATAGCAATGACAGCAACACCTCCAATAGCAATCCCCGCGATAGCCCCACCGGAGAGTGATGTTCCCCCGGATCCACCAGACGAGTCTTCGGGCATTGACGTTGGACTACTACCTGGTCCTGCTGTACTGGAGGGCGATGATTCGTCTGGGAATCCTTCTCCAGGACTGAGCTGAAACGTCGAGTTCGCGACAGATTCTTTTTGGATATCTAAGGTGAATGTCTTATTCTTTACTGAAGTTAGAAACGCATATTATTAACATGACTGCCTGACATTAGACGCATACCGGGTTAATGACGCCAACCATCTTCCAGTCAATACAAGAACCGGGTGCGGAGCTTTCATTTCATCAGCATCATAATTAGAACATCAGGGTCTCTGTTACACCTACCAATAGAAAAAGACTGGGTCTGTACTATTCACTTTTAAATCCCAAGTAGGAATTGGCGTCTGTAGCGCATCTTGTTCCACCGGGCCGCTGAAGAAGCTCTCGGCAGGGTCATTGGTTAACTCCCATGGTATACAGGGCTTCTTGAAGTCTGCTCGAACGACGGAGTGGTTCTTGGGGTAGAAATTGAACCCTAAGAGAAACATGTTAAAGTATTGCTTCAGTAGAAGTTTTAGTCTAACTTACGTATCGTATCGCCGGGATTCGCCTTTATCGTATCAGGCTGAAAATCATGTTGTAATCCAACCCGGACAGTATGCGTGGCCGCCTGATTTGACTCGGTAGCCGTGGGCTCGTTGCCTCCTGTGGTTTTTGTCTGGGCGTATATAGGCGAGAGCCTGGCCGCCACGGCTAACAATAGGAAAAGTGACTTCATTGCAACTATACTCCTGGCTGTTCACGAAGCCGGGAAATTTACAAGAGGAAAGCAGGCCAGAATCCCGGAATGTGAAGATAGAAAAGAAAACAAAACTAGAGAAACCCGGGGTGGTAAGTGACAGTTGCTACCACGCATGGGTGGCAGCTTGTTGGATTGGTACGTTCCATGTGGAGAGCTGCAAGCCTCCTCATTCTCTGTCGTGTTCTCCCTTGCTATGTAAGTAAAAGCGATGTCGAGTTCGAACGCAAACAGCTGAATGGTCACCTAACGGACACTGCGTCGTTGGAGCTGCACGGGATGAGCTACTATATTGCTTGGCTCGCTTAGCTGCATGCCGAATAAACCAATAAGGCAAACGCTTGGTCTGTGTTGGTAGTCTGCTCAGCCCAGCGGTACCTTAGCCAATTTCAAAATGCACTTTTAAATAGACATGATAGGGCAACTAAGCCTTGTATTATGGAGATTCTAGGAATCTGCGTAAGCGCTAAGAATCAACAAGGCTGATGATGGCCCAGCCAGCTGGATAGCCTCCAAGAGTTCACCAATAAACAGCGTTTAACTTAATGCTAAAATTGGGAGCGCGTATCTTCCTTCTTCGTCAGATGTAGTTACTCTTCTAGTCATACCGTGATCCTTTATTTTTCGTCTTATCCAAAGCATATATTGTCTTCTTCTTAAGAACTACCCTTTGGCTTTCCACGCCAAGTTTGATAACTCGCTTTTTTCTTCTTTTTTTCCCCTTCAGAAAGCAAAAGCAATTACACAATGCAGATCTTCACATTTGGAGTCACTCGAATAAAGTAATGGTGATTTTAGCTTTCAGATAATTGTTATCGTAAAGTTATTCCGTATATTCTCCAGCAATAGGTTATTGTATTAACAGCTAATTGTTAAAAGCCAAAGCCTATAAATTCAGGCGCATGTAATTCATATCCTAAGTGGTTTTAGTAGTAAAGCTTGGGGTTTGTCTCTCATCACAAAATTTCGAGAAGTAACGTAGCACGCGCAGAGGTGAGCGCGGGAATATATAGTAGATTCAAGCACATGTATAGGTATACTTGAACTTGTGAAATGTAAAGATGAATTCCGGTTTCGTTTATAACTTGTCAAAGTTAAAGAATGAAGCTCATGCATATTATACTGCCCGTCTACAATATATTGAACAGGAGTTGGTATCTCCTGCAGAGTATGGCATATCACTTCAACGTCTAGATCCTCGTGAAAGGCCCTAAACAGCTGATGATAGCACTATACTCTGAAAGAACTGTAAAGATCTACTGATCGGATAGGATATATAAGATAAATGCGTAAGATAGAGCCATATGCTATAAATATGGGAAAGTAACGAATGTGTCTATATTGAAATGCATAACTGAATGATAATGATCGTGGCTATCTGATCAGAAGAATACGACGAATATTAGGCCTTTATATGGCCTGTGACCTAAGATTACATAATAATACCCTTGCTCTTGGCGATGTGGCACCACACCAGTTCAATATTAATACTATGGGTAGGTATCTAAAGTATAAGACATTCTAAGCTTGCGAGGCAGCTTTACCATCATGTTTCATGCCTGCGGAAAACCGACTTTGACCACTGAACAATTTCTACCATGTTAGTGTCCTAGGAATCCTCAGTGGTGGTTAGAGTCTCTGTTGACGAACATGTAAGCCCGTGGACGCTTGGGTCTATGCTTCTTTTGCTGGCTGGGGACTTTCGCGTAGATGAGATTTGTTATACTTAGTAAATTCCCATCTTTTGAATTGCGTCTTGTACATTTTAGCCCTATTTTGCACGTCAGCATAAAACATCATATCTCCTCAATTTGAATACTCACGAAGCGTCGAAGCCATGGTTCTCCTTCATGATCACCATAAGTTCCTGGAGCGTTTTATTTTCGTTTATATATAGCTGGTGTATTTTATCTTTGTATGCTTCCCACCTCTCATTAGAGAGAGGTCTTCGGCCTTGTGTTGACGTATATACACTCGTCTGAGGATCAGAGTGTTGGCGCCTATGGTTTGGAAACTCAATTGGTGTCGGCTGCGTGGTATCGAGAACATGACTATGCGATTCCCTAGTGGAATTAGGGTCATAATTGGGGGTCGTCTGCGGGGATATTTCTATTTGCGGTGCTTCAGTCAATGGAGACCTTTCAGCGAGCGTGTTGGAGAAAGTGTCGTTAGGCCATGGATTACTTGTAATGTATGGTAAAGAAGCTTCTGTGGCAACCGGTCCGTTTAAAGCAAGTTTAGTTTCTCCTGCTGCAGGAGAATTTGGCGCTGGCTGAAACGCATCTTTAAATTGAGCAAAGGATTCTTTAACTGCCTCATGCAAACATGTGTCTAGAGTACTCCGTGGGATACTCATCTTAGAAATCAGGCTCTGACCAATAATTGCAGGGAGTGTAGTCGTCATGTGGCTCTCTATAACTCCTAAAGGCACCAGCATCCCGCCGTCATAATATGGAGAGGCAGGGCGAGAAGCACCGGGAAATAAGGTATCCCATATTTGGTACCATTTTTCCTCACTAGACCAGGAGTTTATCATCGCCGCATCCCTTACTCTCGTAAGTTGGTCCGTCGTTAAGCCTTCGATATCAAGGAAATCCTTTATCTCGCAAGCATCATGTCTTATATGCTCATCCCGTTTTAAATCTCTGTCAAATATCATACCACATCGAGGGCAGTGTATTGGGCCACTATGCTTTCTGACTATGTGTTGCCTTACATCGCCTACCCTATGAAGTTCGTACTGCGAGCAAGATAGATAACGAGTTGCATCGAACTTAGAGAAAGGGCAGGCGTATCGCAGGCGTGAATCCTTACGTGAAGAAAGAGCCCTTTTAGATGCAGAGAGGCTTCCTTCGTCGGAATTTTCATTTATATCGCTTAGTTCCCTACGCCGCTTTGTATGTGTCTGGGCACTCCTATTCTCAGGGTTATGCGTGATAGACATCCCCTGATCGTTGCCTTCTGTGTCCTGTAACCCATTATTTCCAACCTCGCGGAAACCAATTCGGCTTTCAAATTTTGACCATTGGTCCAACGCGGTAGTAGAGCTACATCTGGGCACCACGTCATGGTTATAGGCGAGTCGACACCACTGAAAAGTGTCGTCTTTTTCCTCTATATCGTCTAGATCGTCGTCAATAGTACTGGATTCGCTATCTGTTAGAGAGAAGTCTAGGGAAGGGACCGGGCTTGGAGAAGACACTCTAGCCACGGGCGGAATGAGAACGTCCCCATGCTCCTCTAGCCATATAGGCGCATGTTGAATTGTATTGTTCTTATTTTCTCGTAGCGTAGCATCAAGATGCTGGTATTTTAAGCTACGAGTGTCCCGAGGTTGAAGCTCTATAGATTGGCTCAAAATATCCACCGAACCAATCAAACAAGCGGTAGATCGACTATTTGTGTGGGAGTGGCAAGCCGCGCGCCATCCCCCGAGGGACTCCCCAAGGAACAGAGCCTCGCATGATGACTCATATTCATCTAACGGCGTCATGGTGTTGATGGAATGGAGATCAAGCGCCATATACACATAACCGGCAGGCAGGTGAACTCTAGAAACTTATTTTCCTGGTTTATATCACGAGATAGATCAATCAAATCATGATTAGCCCGCAAAAGTTCCTAAAATCCCCGGCTTACACCCGTGCGCAGCCAATTGGAGAGCTGCACGTTGTATTAAGGGCTTTGCAATGGAGGGGTTAAAGGCCCGAAAGATCCGAAAGATCCCCAACACTTACGTGTCCCGGAACTTCATAGTTTTGTGATTTGCTCAAAGTTCCAAAAGTCCCCAAAGTTCCATGACCTACGCAGGTGTGTGTGGAGCATATGTGTGTGATTCGGAATTTTGGGGACTTTTACTGGACGACATAGGAACCACAACCATATGCAGGTAATATACTCCCGGGGAAGGATGGGAAGAAAATACTGTCTGCCTACTTAGGTAGTTTTATCGTCTGATTTATGTTATAAAGGGAGGCTAGAGCCGCTCCGAAAAGGCTGAAGCTCCAAACTTTCTTTCCGATTTACCTAGTACTACTTCATCACGGCCCCCTAATGCTGATAACCCTGCTCTAAGGCTTCTACTTCCCGATATGTCCTTAATAGATCAAAGCCAAGTGTCCTATCCGAAGTTATGGACTCCCCAATCATACCATCATTTCCTAATGAGCCCGTCAGTATTGATAATTCTAAGACAATATCATTTGTATTATCAGTCTCACCATCTGAGAAACTAAAGGGGGCATCAACGCTAGGCTCAGACATTAACGAACAAGAAAGGAGATATCGCACCGTCAAGGCCATAACTCTCCATTGGCATGGCGAAAAGTTCGACAGTGATCCTTATGGACCCGCGCGCGAAGCTGCCGAGCTATTGGCGGCGTTGTCTAAGTGGGGATGGCAAACTGAAGACTATTACATCATGGCCGATGACCCTGCCGAGAAAACTGCTAAATTTTTAACGGACTGCACTCGAGCATCACAGTCTGATGAGCTTTTGGTAGTATATTACGTTGGCCACGGGCGTGAGAGCTCCAAAGAACCAACGCCTCAGCCCTTTGGCGTGGCTCGACAGGGTAGCTCACCTAGCGACGATGCTAGTATTGACTGGCCTGTAATTCGTTCCGTTCTCGAAGCGGCCCAGTGCGATGTCGTCATGTTTCTTAACTGCTGCCATGGCGCTGACGCCTGGGTCTCACGCAACCTCGAAGAAGATGGATTCAAAGGTCCACCGGGCAAGGTTATGGTATGTTTAACAGTACATGATCTTAGTATGAGAAAGTCAGTGGCTAATGCGACCTCATTAGAGTATCCTTTCTGCTACTACTGAAAATCAGAGAGCATACATGTATGAGAACATGTCGTTTGGGACCTTGTTGAAAAGAGTGCTCGATGATGTAAGGCCGAGGCTCGGATTGAATAAGTCCATCTCAATACCCATGCTGACGAAGGCGATGAAAGACGAAATAAAGCGGTCGAAGAATTTCCGCGTTCTGGATGTTGTTCATGGAAGCTGGCGGCCCATGGATCCATGCCTGTACGAACATGTGGATGGGGAGTATCGAAACATACGGCTCCATCGAACATTGGGAGAACGTGGCATATCCGAAACTGTCCCCTTGGTGGTCGTTATTTATGAGCCTTTGTTGGGACCGGCGGGACAATATTGGCAGCGAGAGATGCAGGAGACTATCATATAACGGAACTGCGGTATAGTCAGATCTTTTGAAAAGGACTAGTAAGGGGACTCATGTGCGAATATACCGCTAGGCATATATATAATAAAATCGACTCTTCGACTAATCGTAAAAAGGACATATTGAACATACCCACGTGCATATGGACCGTGCACACCTCTCATTTAAGCATCTAACCTAACCGTTAAGTTCGTATGGACTGAATTCAGATAGTTAGAACAACATTCAACTTCATGTCTTTCGTCGATTGTCTAACAATATATCCGGAAACTCGTTTTTACTCATTCGTTCGGAACTTATTTCTAGTACAGAGAAATTAAATCGTTTAACATGGTAAAACGAAAAGCAAGCCAGCTCGAGACGGCGCCGGACGCTACTGATCTAAGAAGGTCGACGCGTCGCAAGCCGGCGGCTCCAGAATTGGCGACTGATGCTACCGAGAATCAGTCGGCAGAAAAAAGCGCGACTCAGCTCCCCAAAACAGACCAGAAGAAGGTTTCTAAGAAGCTGCCTAAATCAAAGGCATCTCCGGTAAGAAATTATGTTTTTTCAGTAGTATTAAATCATCGTTGCACTTCGAGTAAATGAATCTAAGAATGCCATTGTAGGAAAATCCAAAATCAAAGAAGGCGAAGAGTACCACGCAGCCAAGTACAGCCTCCATGTCCGAGGCAGATGAGAAGCCCGACTCTTCAGAAAGGTCGTATTGGCTCTTAAAAGCTGAACCCGAGTCACGATTTGAAAACGGTGTTGATGTCAAATTCTCCATTGACGATTTGGCGTCGCGAACAGAACCTGAACCCTGGGATGGTAAGATTTCATACTTGTAGTAAGCCAGTTTTCCGGCTGGTAACTAGCTATCTCTACTTTATATATGACAGCTGGATACTTACAAGTATATTAGGGATTCGTAATTATGTCGCCAGGAATAATCTCCGGGACATGAAGAAAGGCGACGTAGCTTTCTTCTACCACTCTAATTGCAAAGAGCCGGGCATCGTGGGTACTATGGAGATCGTGCAAGAACATTCCCCCGACTGTAAGTTGCTTCGCCCCAATTACACGAATTTGCTCCTTATTGTATGCTAGTATCGGCACATGACCCCAAGGCACCATACTACGATGCCTCTTCCAAACCCGATAACCCGAAATGGAGCGTCGTGCACGTCAAGTTCCGCAGTAAGTTCAACAAGCAAATTGGACTGAAGGAACTTCGTGAGATGGGCCAGTCAGGTCAACCGCTTGAGAATATGCAGATGCTGAAACAGAGCCGGCTGAGCGTGAGCCGCGTGAGCGCTTCTGAATTCGAGTATTTAATGGATGTAGTGAAGCAGCGAGGCGGCGAGACTCAATAAGGTCCCATAAGATGTGAAATAAGATGTGAAATAGAGTCTCGGGGGTCATTTGTTCTTATTAAGACTTAGGTAATGTTCGAAGGGTATACTCCAACACTGTACGGATACCCGTATCGAGATCTTCAGAAGCTAGGATAGGCTCTATCCACAATTCCACCTTCTCGATCAGTTTAGTCTTGTCAGTGGTGGTGGAAAGAGATGACTTAAGATGGGCTAGCGCCTCCCGTAGAGCTTTAGGATACGAAGGCGTATTTATACCGACATTAACCAATGGCTGTCGGATATGACAGAAGCATGTTGTGGGATCGTTGGGATAAAGCTCTGTCATACTGTCTAGTACATGTTGGACGAGTCGAGCTTGAGCGGACACGGTATTGAAAGTAGTGAAGAGGTCGAAGAATTGTTCCGCTACCGTGGAGTTGAAGAACGATTGCTTCTTTGAGATGTCAAAGATAGCTAAGGGGATAGCTCCATCCAACGCAGGGTTGCCCTCCGAGGTGCCTTCTAACTTCTTCGTGGTGTCTTCATCAATAACCATTTTTCCAGCGAAATTTCCTGGATCTGGAAGAATGAGCTGGCCATTTTCATCAACATCGTCGTCGTCATCATCATCATCGCTCTTCTCGGAGAATTTTATTTCATCATCACTCTGTTCAGCCTGTTCTTGGATCGCTTTTTTGGCGCCGCCTTTCTTCTCTCTCTTAGCATCCATCCGTTCCAGCCACTGCATTTCGCACTTAGTGTATTCAAGCCAGATTGTTGCATCTTTCGTGCAAAATCTAGTGCCGCGCATAAAAAAATCCCTTGCCCCCTGCATGTCTCCATTGTTTGCTGACCTCCTACCCGCCAGTACCCAGAGCTCTGGTTTAGCCGGGTGCATTCTTAATGCCCTGCTTATGATCTTTCGGTAACGTTTGGTCGCCTTCATATCTCTTGCATAATTCAAGTATTCCCTCCAGAGTTCGATATTCCCTGGGTGCCTGTTCACTGCCCGCTCCAGGATCCCGAAAACCCGTCCTTGTCCCGTGTGTTTAGACGAAGTGCGAACCTGTAATCTACGACATCGCTTCGCGCGTAGGGTTTCGAGGGATTTCTCCCAAGCGGCATAGTTCAACCAGTCGGTCGGTTTGTTTCCAGGCGACAGTACAAGGTGCTCATAGTCGGTACGCTTTCGTACTAGCGAACGGATCTCGTCGGTGGTGAATATGCCCTTGGCCTCAAATTCACGTAGCTGGGGAACTGCTTGCTCGAGAAAGAATCGAGCTTTCTCGGGGACACCTGCCATGGTGCCTATCTGTTCACCAGATTGAGATTATTAGGTCTACTATGCTAGAAGCGAGTTGGTTTGTGTGATCCTAAGACTTTGAAGTGAGTAGGTTCTATGCAGAATCCAGCAGTTCAGAAAAGTTTCAGAAGACTAAATAAAATTATAGTGGACCTTAAAGATAAGATAGATATCCGTCCCAGAGCTACTCAAATTTTAGTGGGCTGGGGATCTTGAGACTTGAATAGGTATTTGGTCCGCTGGTACCTATGCAATAAAACCCTTACATAAGCCTCGATAAGCTTGCACCACTTAGCAGCAGGGATCTATCTTTTCGTGCACGACAACACGCGACAAGCATGGATTAAACCTTCTTGGCTCATCGACCCACACAAAAGGTACCTAAAAGTTTAGCACTGAGATCACCGAGGAATCCGGAGAAGTAAATGGGAAGGTACCTCCAACCACATGCATTCAAGCATTGACGCAACTTTCAGGTTTTCTTTTTCTTCAAACGCTTCTTTCCCCCCGACGCTCGTTGCCACTGTTCCCGTTAATTCTATTTCACCCCTTGGTTTGGTTCTTGTAGCTCAATTTTAACATCCACGCAAGGCTCGTTCGGCTCCCAACTTGGGAATGCGAAAATGTCATCCAAGTACAAAGATAAGGACACCGGGACGACGGTAGCCACTTTAAATGCGAAATGGGTATCGTGGGTTCATACTGTTGTCGCATACGGTTGGTGAAATATTCGCCCTTGCTAAGCACGATTTTTCAACTGATCAATGAGATTAAATAGCTGCTTTCCTGAGTGCCCTGTCTGTGGGCATGTACCTCCATTACCATAAGATTGTCAAGAATGAGTTCTACGGCTATCCCGACGAATGGTTCCCCTCTGTGTCTGCCACCATAGGCGATCGATATCCCGAGCGATCTTTCTTTATGCTCTTCATAGCTTTGACTTCCGGACCTAGATTTGCGCTTGTCACCCTTTGGTATCTCCTTACCACGAAGCCTGGAAAGGCCCTCCCCAAGTTTATCGCTGGTGTGGGTATTTTCAGGACTCTTACGTGTGGGGGGTGGACCTATGTGACCTCCACCGACGATCATGATTGGCATGATATCTTCATGATTTCCTACCTTATAGCTACTATCCCGTGGACCTTTGGCTGTATCGCCTTGAGTCCACCGAACCGAAAAGCTATCAAGTATCGAAAGTATCTCGCAACAGCCTTCTTCGGCATGATACCTCCAATGGTCTACTTCTTCATTCAACACAAGATCCGCCGGGTAGCAGGAGGTTAGTACGCTTTAATTCAAAGCTTCGAGTGAAGACATTGCTCACTACTTGCAGCTTACACTATTTATTCGCTCCTCGAGTGGTCTCTTATCTTGTTTGACGTCGCCTTTGATGCGGTTACTGCTCTCGACTTCGATACTTTTGAGATTGTAGTTAGGGACGTGAAAGGTTTGAGTACGGGGTACGTACAACGGCTCCCCAGGTAAACTTACTATGACGTGCATACTCGCTTGGGACTAGATGCTGCGCCCCTGTTTTGTTTTTTACACGAAGCCGCATATTTGGAATAATTGAGGTCGACAGATACAACAAATCAGCTATGATAAGGTAGATCTTCTCTACTCGTTTAACGGATATCGTTCTTTGGCTGAGATTATCATTGGCCAGATTAGTCTGTGGGACTTCGATGATAGGTGCAACCTGTCACGAACATTATCCCCTTACGAAATCTGTCTTGAGTTGATAATCAACTGGTTTTCTGGGGTAAACACTATGTAATAGGCTCCTATCTTTGAAAATAGGGTTGTCTTTCTAATGCAGATATGCCATAGCTGCTTAGGGGTGACGGCGGCATCTGTTCGGGCGAGTTTTGATGCGATCATGCGGTTGACTCGGCATTACCCTGTCACTTTTTCTGATCGGTTTCGCAGGGTCAACGTATCGCCTCAAGCGACCGCCGTTCTCGAAGAGGAAAAGAGAAAGATTACTGCTGGTATCTTCGATGCTGAGTTTTCTTGGCCTGAAGTATTCGACACTGCTGCCGAGGTCTACCATGGCTTCGTCTTCTGGTCTATGCTCACAAGTCTGGGCGTAGTTATTTGGTACTTCCCACTTTGGCACATGGGTATCTCCGGCTACGAAGCGCTCGTAATGTCTACGATTTCGCCCTTACTTCTTAGTATTAAACCATTCCGCTCGCTTATTACTCAAAATCTACGCGCCTGTCATCTCTTGTCTCTCGCCGGACTTCTTGCGTGGCAGGTTAAAGATCTAGCCTACAGACTCTTCACGGTTGGTTTTGGCGTCGCAATGTCTTGTCTGGCATGGGCCGCCACTTTGTTCTCTGAATCAGTTCACCCAGTCCGCTTCGAGTCAAAAATATTAGCCTGGATTGTTGGTCTAGTAATGTCCTCCGCTGTCAAATATGCATGGCAAACTAACAACCCGATATGGCCGATCATGCACGCCGCCAACGGTGGCTATAACGGGACTGGGTTGGTACTAGCAGTATTCGCTACGCTTAGATTCACCCGTAGGGCGCCTCTTAATACTGGTGTAGCCGAAGATAATAGACAGAACGGTTCAGCATTCCTAACTGCCCTGGGTATCGGCGGTCTCTTCTTTGGTTTGCATTCACTACTTTCTGATACCAGCACTATGATTCTATGGGTGTGGGATGGTTATCCAGTCCGGGGTCCCCTCTCTGGTCCCCATGGCTGGTTCACAATAGTGGCAATGACAGCTGGATTGTTAACTGGAATTCGTCTACCAAGATTAGTTAGCAATTGGTCTGCTTATGGCATCGGGTGCGTCGGCGCGGCTACCCTCACTCTCTATCCCGGCTGGCTTGGGTATTTCGGCGGCCTTACTACCGCCTTCTACTTAACAGCCATTGCGACTCCTTTCATTACCGTGGCCTCTAAGAACCCCGCAACCGCTTTTGGTCTTGGATTTTTCCTATACAACTTGATGGTTCTATTCCACGTCTGGGTGGTTGCTTACGCTTTCGTTCCCGGAGGACCCCTTGTTCGCGAACACACGGATTGGATCATGACAACAATGATGTTGCTCATCGGCGCTGGTGTATTCAACATCACGTCGATACACTCGCGCCAACGCGAAACATCTGAACCTCCAGCCCGATCACGACATCGCAAGTATCACACTTTAGTACTAGGCATCATACACCTTTTTTTCGTCGCTACTGCGTTCCGACGTTTTCCGACCAACGATTATAAGCCTTACCACAATGACTCGAGACTTATCACTGCTGGAATTTGGACCATCCACTTCTCTCTTGACAACGACATGTGGTCTTCTGAGTACCGCATTCGTGATTTAGTAAAAGAACTTGAAATTGACGTTATCGGTTTACTAGAGTCCGACTTACAACGTATTATAATGGGAAATAGAGATACGACCCAATTCCTCGCCGAGGATCTAGGCATGTATGTCGACTATGGTCCTGGGCCGAACAAGCATACTTGGGGCGCCGCACTCTTATCAAAGTTCCCTATTATGAATTCGACGCATCATCTACTTCCGTCCCCCGCAGGTGAACTAGCTCCTGCTATCCATGCGACTCTTGATGTCTACGACGAATTAGTGGACGTCTTTGTGTTCCATTCTGGCCAGGAAGAGGATCCAGAAGACCGTCGTCTGCAAACTGAGTATATGTCCAAACTGATGGGTTCATCACCAAGGCCGTCGATTTTACTCTCCTACCTGGTGACCAGGCCCCTTCAAGGCAACTATAACACGTACGTCTCCGATATTTCAGGGATGCACGATGTAGATCCGCGTGATTGGGATCGTTGGTGCGAATATATCTTGTATAAACGCCTACAGAGAGTAGGATATGCGAGGGTGTCTCGAAGTACTATCACCGATACCGAGCTGCAAGTTGCAAAATTCGTAGTTCCCAAGAGTGAGGCTGAAAAAGCGCAAGTGGCGGCTTTAGATACCAATTCGGAAAAAAGAAACCGCAGGACCAAGGAGCACGATGTCCCTGAAGGATGGAGATTCCCGGCCCTATTCAGAGGACAAGGTGTTAGAGGACACCGGTATCACGTTTTCAACGAGCCACTGTATTACAAGCCATCATGAATGGATAATTGGCATAGGGGTGTAAGGGGGGCGGGGTTATGAGGATATGGGGGTAGAGGGCAAAGGGTAAAGGGTAAAGGGAAACGTGTAATGCCATAATGTGTAAGAAAACCTGTGTATTAAAAGGGGGGCGTTCTTTTAACTTTAAATTCAATATAATGAATCAATTAAATCAGAGTGAATCGTAGTCATTTATTTACATGGAAGGGCCCAAAAGCTAGTCCGCCTTTGGCATTAGGTATTATTTCTTTTGTTTTATATATATTGGCACTAGGTTAGTGGGATGCGATATTCCACCGCCGAATCCTTTCAAGGTCAAATCTTCTTGCACGGTTTTTCCCTCCTCCAATACCTCACAGTCAAATAAGCTAATTATCAAAGCAGTAGTCAGTAATATCTGGCGTTTCGCAAAATGCCGACCAGGACACTGTCGTGGTCCGCCACCGTAGGGAATCCATGATCCTTCGTATTCTTTTGTTGAGAACGCGAGGGTAGAACCGTGCGCCTGAACGTTGCAGGGGTCACTTCCAGATGGATAATTAAGGAATCGTCCAGCCCAGAACTTGTTGACGGGGTGCTCGTTATCAAACCCAGTGTTCCACGCTTTGGAATCCATATGCGCAACTGTCGTCAGCGTGACAATTACCTTTCGCCTCGGTATAACCCAGTCTCGGATGTTCATATCAACTCTATCGGGCATCTTGATGATGTAAAAGTACATCCTAAGTCTCAACGTCTCGGCATATACAGCTCGGAGCACTGGCAAACGAAGCAATTGGTCTATATCGAACCGGATGCGGCCATCCGCGCTTCTGGTCGCACAGCTATCAACCTCAGCCCTCACACTAGCGAGAAGCTCAGGATCCCGATATATTTCGAATATAGCCCATGATACAGTAGCGATAGAATTTCTTACTCTATGCGAGAAGTTAGCGTGTATCGATCTTGACGGTCAGGGGCCGAAGCTATAGCTTACGCCCATATTGCTCCGAAATCTTGGGATGCGATGGCAGCGTGATCGAAACCGTCTATTTCAAGAAACATTTCGTGCCGCTCTCGGAAGAAGCTACTCCCCCAAAATGGATCGTCACCGTCAGCACCCATAGCGGAGTCGTCGTAATGATCCCTTGCGTGCTGCTGCCAAATTTTAACGGCGTCCAGGACCCTCTTTCGAGCCGCATAGGCCCTTGGCGCAAGAAACCAAGGGATCCCTGTGAACAGGGTTAGCCAAGTGCGCTACTATATGCTTCCTGGTGCTTTACCTTGGAGATAAGTCTGTAAGTTGCGGTCAAAGTCCCAGAAGTCCTGCAGGAAATTTGGATTCAGCTTCAGGAGGTATGGGCCGCAAAGAGCATTAATGGTTGAAATCGTTACTTCATCTCCAATGACTTTCATCAGATCAGCGCGGTATTCCCATTCGGACCCCACGCGATCATGTAAACCATACAACTGCTGTGTAATATCGTCTGCAAACCTGTTCCAGAAAGGCAGAAGCTTTTTGCCTTCTAGAAATTGGACTATGGACTGATGCCCGCGGTAGTCAATACGGTTGCGAGCCTCCACCGTGCTGTCCGGATGAGGCACATGGCTACTGCCGGAGTCGTCCTTGTCGTATAAACTCAGGGCCTTAGCTGGCAAGCCAAAAGCGTACCCAAGAGCGAACTCGACGAAGGGAATTAACGTGCAGACTGAAGAGCTCTTAAAGAGGGCTTTGACATTCTCCGGGCCCTGGACCACGTAGAACTCTTGAGTGAGAATTTTGACCAGAACCGGCTGCGCGCTCTGGAAGAAATTCCTGTGATGGGTTGGTTACTGCAATAGATAATGGCATAAGAAGTACTTACTTGGGGTTCAAGACGAAGTCTTTCGGGCTCCATAAGTACATAATTGGTAGACTTCTCAGGAAGGGGAAGACATAGGGGAACGTCGAAGGGATGCCTTTTACATCGTCGTGCTTCTCGTACGCCACAAGACAGGCGTGTTTAGTAGCATATCGACGCCAAAGCACAGTGATTAACAGTAGACAAAAAGCCAACATGTTAGCAGGGCTGAGTGGGAAAAGATTGAAGAGCATCTCTAGAAACAATTTATCTAGGTAGGTACCTAATATCGGTAGACACCTAATATCATAATACGTCTTCAAGAGTAGGGTTAACTACTGTCACATTCGCCTTTGGAAAAGAGAGTTGGAACCGGACAGGTTAACACGGGTTGTTGAGTCAAGGGCAGTATTCAATGCAACAACCTATAATTTCTATAATTGTATGATGGCCCCCAACCGACTAAAGCCTCACCGAATAACACTCTCGCCAACTCATGCATCACAAGAGAAAGACCACGGTAACTGTCGAATGCCAATACCAACACTCTCTACAGTCCTCTCTGCAGTCTTACCGTAAACCCTCAAAGATGACGCATCTCGTGCAAATGGAACCCCAAAGCGGCCCCGATAGAGGCGAAAATGCTGCAGTCGGGCGGGCATGTGGGCTTACAGCATAAAAATGACTATTTAGCTAAGGTTCCCAAGGTCCCCAAGACCTCGTTTCCCAGGCCTGTTCTTCAAAGACTGACTATCACCAGTTGACACCTGGTAGACTTCACACAAAACATGGATACTTCTCTGGATCCTCAAGAAGCTACAAGGCTCATCGAGTCATCCGGCCAGATTCACATGCGGGCCTTCCAAGTGGCCATTGGAGTATTGACCGGCTTAGCACTTTGCTGCTTCATCGGTCGATTGGCTGTACGTCTTACGTACCAGAAACGCCTACACCTGGACGATGCGTTTTTGATCATCGCTGCCGCTTCTCTATGTGCGGCCACGGGTATTCTTTACCATATTTGTTATTTCCTCTACCTGCATTCAGTTGCTTTACTAGCCCCTCAACTTCTACCTTACCTCCTTGCCAATTATGACGAACTTCTCAACCTTCAGAAGAGGGTATACCCGTTCTTAGCCTTAATATGGACAACGACTTTCGCCGTCAAGGGGTGCTTTCTAGCATTCATGCGGCCGCTTGTCTGGCATATATCACGAAGAGTAAATTGGTACTATTGGTTCATAGCAGGGTTCTGTATCTTGTCTTGGGCATTTGTCGTCTCAGAACCATTCATCGTGTGCCCATATTTTGGATTAGAAGGGAGTAAGTATAATTTGTCAACCAACGCTGGGCCAAGGCTAACCTTCGCATAGTGAAATGCTTCAATTCGACCGTAGATGAGAAAAAGACATTGGGTCTTACCGCGCTTGTTACGGTCCTAGACATTCTTTCAGATATAATGGGTACGTCTTGTTTATGTCTGCGCATTAGCTAGCTCGTTGTCCTCGAAACTCACGTCGTGTTAGTCGTTAGTATCCCATCATCATCCTTAGAGGCTCGTTCCTCAGCCGGTCTACCAAGTTGGGTTTGGCAATCTTCCTCTGTCTCTCGATTTTCATGGCAATTTGCGCTATTGTTAAGATGGCTGGCTTTTACTACAAGGGGCTCGAGGATGACACCTGGGAGTTCTTCTGGCAACATATTGAAGGTGCAGTTTCAGTCATGATGGCATCCATCACAGCGTTTCGCACGCTTTTTGTCAAACAGGCAAACAGTACCGATGATACAATACCACGCAGCCCGGTTGAGAGCCTTTTTCATAAACTTTTTAGGCGGTTCCAATCTTTGGCTCGAGCGCAGCCCAACGAGAAATCCACATCAAACCCAGACACCTCAATTCTCAAACTTCCCAAGATACCGTCTCCGATTTTCACTGACCTGCGAACTTTCATTCGTAGGAACAATCGGACTGGCGTGAGCTCTGCTACATTTGCTACCCTAGATTCTGTAGGCGATGCTTCCGAGGCAGACTATCACGCCGCCCTTAAAATACAACACCGAGCCGACAGTGACAACAGCCTACCACATGATCAGCCGTTAGGCACCGCCTAACAAGTTGATAACGAGACCACTAGGACACCTAGCATAAGGAGCTCCAGGCTACCTCATAAGTAGGCTAGCATTTGATGGTTTCGTAGCTCACGCTTTGATAGAGTTGTGTTCTCAATTCATGTTCGTGTTTTTACAGTTTGGGTAGTCTTGATAGATAGGGCTGGGGTATGGATTTTATATATCATGCGTTACTTGTTTGTCTAAATTAGGAATTCCTGAGAAGTGTGTTATGTTGAAAGTCTACTCAATATCAATATCACTTACCGGACCATGAGCCTCTAGCCAAGCTGCCATGGTCTCAATATCTGCTTCTGCGTCTCCATCATAATCAATATCCATGACTTGAATGTAATTATTTCCTAGTTGGTAGTTCAGTTTAAACTGTATATCGCAGACATGCTCATTTTCTGCTGGGGAGGTTGAGGTTAGGGCGTGAGTATCATATGTGATATATTATATTAAAGTTCCTTACTTTAACCTCATTTGCTGGTTTCAAAGAGGTCGTACGCACCCGAAAATTTAACCATCGGACTAGGGCTACCTACTCGCAACGAGCTTCCTGTTCTATAATGAAATAGGGATAAACACATACCCCCAACCTAAACATTAATATGGACGCAGCTGATATAGAACTGGGCTACTTTCCAGGCGCTTGAAAACGGGAATACATACTCGGCATGCATAAGGTACTTTCCCGATGGCGTAGTATATTCTGGATGTTGAACGTCATCTATTAAACTCACATTAACGGGTTGCGTCTCCAAGAAATGCGGTGGTTACCCAAAACAACTCATGTCATGCTCGAATGGTCCAGAGAGACATACGTCCGGAGATAATATCACGTCCCAGCGCGTCTTATCCAGTGGCCCGATGCTCCCGATCTTGAACCAGTCTCCATAGCCACGGTACTCTTCCAAAATATGTCCATCTTCGATATAAGTCAGATAACGCCTGTCCTACCCCTTCATGGTAAATGTACACATTGTCATCTCCAGCACTATCAAGGCCAACGACGGATGATAATTTTTCACCAGGAGCCTCTGTTATGGACACAGCGTTTACTTATGGTATCCAATAGCAGAACAAGACTCTGATCGGGCTTACATCCTTACTACTACCACTACTATGTACTTGGGACTCAACTATGTAACTAACGCTCACAGCGAATGCTTGACGTAACCTATAGGGTTAGAACATGCTATGATAATTTCAATTTGATAAATATTAGGTAAATATCGTTTTCTAAACGCTGCTTCACACCATATCATAGAATCATATGTCAATGTCCCTTGCAGTAAGTAGATCCTGTAGTATGGTTCCTATCCGTCTTGGAAATCCATGCAATCTATGTCAGGGACAGAATATTCCTCTTCTATCGTATTATTATCTACCAAGGGGCAAACATTCTATGGGTATAATCTGTAAGGGGGATGACATTCTCAGTTCTTTTGTTGCACTAGGAAGTTTTCGGAGCGTGGATCTAAAAATGTTAAGACACAATCAAGCTATTAGTCTGTATCATATCTTCCATTTATAATTGTAGTCTAGCCTACTCGGTTGTTCTAATTAAGCAGTGTGCAAGTAGCAAAATGCTATTTTGTACATGTCCAGGTCATGTCGACGTTAAGCAATCCACTTCCACCCCTTCCCCTTTCCATCAGCCCATCGTACCCCAACGCAACATATTGTAGCACCCATCAATAGTGCTCCATCCCAATACGCGATACTAGCATATGCCCCTGTTCCCTGTTCCGAACTTCCCAACAGTTGTCCACCAACAGGACTTCCAAACATAGTCCCTAGCCCCCTTACGAAAAGTATGAACGCGTTCACGGCCGCGTACTGCTGGATCCCGAAGACTTCGGCAATAAGTGCCGGGAACAGCCCATAATACCCACCGGCTGAGATGCTGTAGAACACAATGAAGGCTAGCCAAAGCGAGAATGACGACGAGGCAGTTGCGAGAATGCTAGAAAGCCAGAAGGCAAATACGCTAGATGCAGCAAAGAAAAGTGTCAACAAAAGTGTGTTCTGTCGACCGAGGCGGTCGCCAGCGTAGCCGGTGACGACGCGGGACACGGCATTTATGGCGTTGCTGGCGGCGAGGAGATTGGCACCATTAGATGCGGTTTGGCCGAGAATTACTGTATAGGAAGGGATGAAGGAAAGGGGAAGTTGGGCACCGGCCGACTATAGGGGTTAGCTACGGAACCTTGAAAGATGGACGCGACGAATTAGGGTTGGGGGGGTTAGAGCATGAATGTCAGAGGCAAGTTATTCCATAGTTTCAATTGGTTGTGTGCCAATGGCAAGACAGAGGTCTCTTGAGTACTAACCTGGAGAAATGCGGCCACAACCGAGAAGAGGAATGTAGGTTTTACGGCCAAGGAGCGTGAGACGTGGGTGTTTCGCCTCTCAGGTCTTTCTGCAGCTGGGACTGTTGCAAACCGACTCCGCGGTACAGCCCAAGCAACTGGCAGCCCGGCGATCAGATTGAAGATAGCATAAATCCGGAGGGTCCAACGGCCGCCGAGGGAGCTAAGAAGTGCGCGGATTACAGGTGAAAGTATGAGACCACCAGTACCGCCACCGGCCAGGATCTAGGAGGAGTACTATGAATTAGTGGCAATACCTTCAAGAATTTCAGGGGTGATACCACATTGTCTGAATGGCTGCATATGATTTTCATCGGGATGCAGAGACGCATGGTATACTGCAACGCTCTATTTTTAAAGAATATAGAAATAGAATTGCGGATAAAGCACTTACAAAGCCCATGGCGGTTGCACGATGGCTAGTGAAGTACTCAGGCGCGGGTGCGAGGAGTGGGAAGTATAAGAGTGACATTCCAAGGCCAACCAGGAAACCTTGCGTAAGCAGGAGCTGCCACATGGAACTAGCGAGGGAAGCCAACGCGAATCCAGCAGACATCATAACCACTCCTGAAATGGTGATGGTTCTTGGCGTTAAGAAACGCAGGATCCTACGGCGCCATCGTCGACTCGAAGGCGTGGCTAGAGCCCAAGTTCCATTCTCGATACGCGATATCACAGGATTAACAAGGATGCCGCCCGCCCAAGTCAACCCATAGCACAGCGTGCCTACGAAGGCGAGCAGTGCTGTCGGCGGTGTAGCCTGTGAGGCCGGGGAGGGCACTAGGATATTCTGATCCGGCGAGAGATAATACTCTTGAAAGACACCAAAGGTTTGGTTATACCCTATCGTAAGAGCGATGGTCACGAAGGCTGAGATGAGGACCGAGGCTTGTTTTCTCCGTGAGATCGGCGGTAAGGTCGGTGCTGGAGTTGAGCCCGACTCGGACCCGGATTGTGGGGCTGTAAGCGGGATTGCTTGGGTTTGTGCTGCCATTGTTAGTTGAATATCTTACCAGCTCATAGATGAATGTCTAGAGAGAACTTGGCAAGAAACAAGGTGTGAAAGTTAATAATTTTTGATTGGGTTCGTGCTTTAGCGATGGCAATTAGAAATTACGTTATAAATACGGCGGTTTCGGTAAGATCCCTGGTACATTGGATGCCTTTTCCCTCGGTTGTAATGGCGGCAGAAATAAAGCCCCATCCCTGTATAATTTAAACTGGATTACAAGATCTTTGAAGGGTTACAAATAAAATATGAATGATCCATTACAATAAGATACAGTCCGGTGACATATTCTTTTATTAAACCTCGTTGAAAGAGATGATAGAGACGATGAATGTCCATAATTCTATGTGTAGTAAGCTCAAGCGTATGCCTCGGTACCGCTTTAAGAATAAAGCTGTTTAACCCCAGACTCTCAACCCATCTCACAATTTATATAAGAAGAGCAGTGAGGCTAAGAAGAATATTGCCACTTAATGAGAAATGGCCTAATTTTCGAGACCTAGTAATCCACAACTGTAAGCCATAGATAAAATAGACGGCATCAGACAGAACGGGGATATTCCTGATTCAGAATTTAACACCAGACCTGAAAGCAACCATGCATCGATGTAAGGGGAGCTTACGACATATAAGAAATCGCGATATCACGCCTTCGGGAGTAGTCACAGTCCTGCGACTCATTAGATTTCTTAGCAGCAAATCAAGGGAGAGAGATTGTAGTGAATGGAAACAACCAGTTTTACTCTAAATCGTATTTTTATTCAACATCACTGTCGTCTCACAAGCTTAACCACCGAATACCATAAATTCACTTCCAAAGTGATGAAGGCGCTTGCCTCTGAGCCTCATGTTGTGTGGTATCAGATGACTATATGAGTTCGCGTTCGTCGGATCCTTCCAGCCCCTCACAGAGGTGTGGGTTTGCTTGACCGAGCTGAACTTGTCTGAATGGGGAAGACAAGGGATAAAAAAGTCCGTGACGCAAAGTCGTAGAGCCAGGTTAATGCTTTCCTGACTAACAAGGGCATTGTCCACTAACACTCATAATAGTTTTATCCAGTCATGGAACAGTATCCTCATGGTATTTTATTCATTCGAGATCTATATAAAGCCTATGTTGCTGGCTTTTTCTCCCGCACATCACCAGAATTTTATTGGTGCAGGAAAGGAAAAGTGAACTTATCAGATTTGTTTTCCGTCAAACGACAATAGTAGTCAACATGGAAACTCAAACCCCAAACCCCAAAATCCGAGTAGCTGTGATCGGTGCCGGCATCGCGGGATGCTGTCTAACCATCGGGCTCTCCCGCAACCCGTTACTTGATGTACATCTCTATGAGGCCTATCCAGATGTTGGCGTTCGTGGCGCCGGCATTGCCCTTCACGGAAATGCCATCAAAGCAATGGACTCAATTTCACCGGAGATCAAGAAGACATATTTCAAAAAGTCACATTTCATGGCCAATGAGGAAAACATAGAGATGGCAACTCAGATCATCGTTGGGAGCGGGCATAATGCTGGAACCCTTGTGGCAGAGTTAGGCAGAGCAAAAGGAAGAAGGACCATTCATAGGGCACATTTTATCCAGGGCCTTCTCGAGGACGTCATCCCTGAA